TGGCATGTGGTGCTGGGGGATTGAACCGCGGTCCCTGTGCTTTGCTAAGCTTGTTCTAAGTAGGTGCTTTAGACCACTGAGCCATCTCACCAGCCCCAGGTTATGTGTTTTTAGAAGGCAAGAGGACTTTGCTACATCAAGGAAGAAGTGAAACAAGTCAGAAGCCATCAGCTCTGTGCTGATACACATTCTGATTTGTGTCTTTAAGGTAAAACGGTCCAAGGTCAAATATCAGAAGACAGTAAAGCGTTTTGACCCTGGGACAAGTGATCCTGACCATGCACATAGGTTGTTCAGTGTCTTAGTTCTATCCTCTGTAGTCACAGTTTCCTAACAGTGCACTGGCTAATAGCTAATAGAGTCTACAGTTGGGTTCTTCATTGTGGTCTACTAAGTGCTTGCCATTTGGACCAGCTGAACTACAAAAACTCAGACTCTCAGGCTGGGTAGCATTTATTGTTCTGTCATGGCCATTCTCAATGATTGACAGTGGGGGTTTGAATTTAATTCTTAGTTTGGTTTCTCAGCAGGAGTTAATTTTGTATTTGTTTACAGAGGAAGGTAAGTAATACTTCTTGGATTTTTTTTTTTTTTATTTTTGACTAAGGGCATTTTCTAAAGCAGAGTAGCAAATGGGCTATGTTGAGAAATAAGGATACTTTTTTACAGTATATTAGGGGAATTTATGGAACTCTCATACTAGATACAGTTGAAGAATAAGCTCTGGGGGCTGGGGAGATAGCTCAGTAGAATAAGCGCTTCCCTGGCAAGCGCAAGGGGCTGAGTTCAATCCCTGGTTCCACCAAAAAAAAAAAAAAAAAGCTCTGACTCTCGTATCTATGCCTCTGTGTTAGGGAAAAGCTAAAGTCTTTGTAATTTGTCAGTATTCCTAACTGTACATTCTATAATTAACATCTTAAGACTAAAAATCTAGTTTATGGAGTAATGACGTTTTCAGTCATTTACTTCCCAGTTAAATGTTTTCACCCTTTTTTTTTTATTAGTATATATTTGTGATGAATGACAAATACGTTCACTGTTGGGAATTGGTGCATATACACACCACGTCTTCATCCTTTTTCCTCTCCCTCCTCCCTCCTTTGTCTTCCTCATCTCCAAATAATTTTCTCATCTCTAGTGTCCCTGTTTCCTGTCATATTTTATGTCACTCTTCATTTATACTTAGTTTCTCATAGAAGAAAAACCATGTCTCACTCTGTGTCTGATTTATTTCACTTAGCATTATAGTCTCAGTGTGATCCGTTGTCCTACCGGTGACTGGTTTATCCTTTACAGCTCAGCAGTACTCCATTGTGTGTGTGTATATGCCACATTTTTGTTAAACATTCATTTGGTGAGGGACTATGTTTTGTGATACTTTGATACAATTTAGACTGTAACGCATTTTGTTTCATGACTCCTAATACATTCCCACTTGCAGAGAACATGTGACTGAGTTCAGGCCGGCCGTGGATTGCCAATCCATAGGCTTCAGAATCACCTGAACAGCGTACTAAAAACAAATCACTAGATGCCACCTTCATCATGACTGAGCCAAGGGCCCATGAACGCATTTCTAACAAGTTTTTATGTTCTGCCCTTGCTCTTTGTGGGCCATATGTTGAGACCCCCTGAGCCAAGGTGACCAAAGACTTGCTGGAGTTTCTTAAGTAGGTGAAAGAAACATGGTTTCAATGTTTATATGCCTCCTGAAAATTGTTACCTTGGTATTACACCTTTTTTCTTAAAAGGATCATCTTTTTGCAAAATTATACTTAATTTTGAATGATTTTGATAATGAATGTTAATAATAAAATATTAGAGGTTAAGTAGAAGGTTGAAATTCAACCATAGTAAGTAGGAAAAGCACATTTTAAATTCAGAATTATAGTAGTTTTATGACTAGTTAAACATAAAGTCTTATCTGCATTGTATCGATGAACACTGGGCCAGAGTCCCTGCCTTTGGTGATATGGAAAAGAAATGCCAGATGAGCCAACTGAACTTTTATTTTAACTTTACCGTCTCCTCCAGATTTTCTCAGGCAATTCTTGAGTCCTAACTCAGTAATACTTCTAACTTTATTTCAGAGGTCTTGGATGAAAATTTGACTAAATATTCCACACTAAGTAGGAGATTTGTTCATCTGAAAGCTACTGCATCTTTGCTTCCGTCTGTCTAGCAGTCAGTCGACCTATTGCAGGTCATCTGCTCTCCTGGGTGACAGGATGTGGCGAGGGAAAATGAACCTGAGAAATAAAGTGTGGGGCCATGAAATGCGACGGCGAGGCTTTCTGCAGCTTGCCGCACCCCCAGCCTGGAGAATGGTGGCGAAGGCAGCATGCTTATTGTATTCCTTCTCATAAAGTCCATGAGACACTTACTTTATCATTGTTTCAGATAAAGATGTGCCACCCACTCTGTATTTGGAAAAGAGAGACAGTGACAGAGAACGACTGGTCCCTGCTGCTGGCTCCGCAGAGCCAGTTAGGGCAGGAAGCTGCTTGCTGCTTTTCCTAAGAACAGCCCCTCTGTTATGTACTGCAGCTTCACCTCTGAGATTCAGTATCATTCTGTCAGACTTCCTCTGTGTCTTAAGAGAATATACACGTGCTGTGTGTTTTATTTTTTAGGAGAAGACTGATGTGGAAGGAACCTTGTTTGTTTATGCGAGGTAAGATTTTATTTTAAGAAAGAAACTGACACTCTTCGAAGTAATATTTTAGCTCAGTTGTGTCATTCTTCAAGTGCAGTTTTATTTCAAAGAACTATGACGGCTGAGTCTTAATTTGATATTATTAGCTGACAAGGAGAAAGGAATACTATGTAATGTCCCTTGTTTTATTGCAGTGAATACTGACTTCAGGGTATAATTTAAACCTCAATATAGATTAACTTAAATCTTCATGCTCTATTTGAAATAGTATCAAATATTCTGTGATTTAAATAAATGGTGCAGAATTTTTGAATGTTATGCCTCAGCAAGGAGCTAGAAGTATACTGTTAGGAATGTTACATTATTTAATCAGTATTTGGAAAATGTTTTATTGATCACCCTGCCACTCTTTTTTTTCTGGTGGAACCAGGGATTGAACGCAGGTCCTTGCGCTTGCCAGGGAAGTGCTTATTCTACTGAGCCATCTTCCCGCCCCCTACCCTGCCACCCTTGACTCTAGAAAAACATAGTCCCAAATTGAAGATATCTTTCAGTATCTCATTATCTAGTTAATAGAGCGTTTCAGAATAGGTTATTAATAAACTCATGCCATTTTCATTTCTTTTTATCAGATATTGTTAACTTTACACATGTACAGCGGTATACATTATATGTATTAATAGCAAATTTTTTAATATTCACTAAAATGTCTCAGTTAAATCCTATCACATTCAATAGGTGCAAAGATGAAATACAAAAGTTTAAATCCTTCTTGCGATGACAATTTCGTTGGAGAAAAAGGAAATACATACATACATGGTAGATGTATTTTCTTTGCACGAGCTTTCACATTTAAGATAAAGAAGCTGAGAGTGTATCAGTGGTAGAATGTCTGCCAGGCATGAGCCCGGCTGTGGGTTCCACCCCCAACATTCTAAGGAAAAAACCAGGATAAACACAATACAGATAGACCTCAGTGCTGGCTGATAGATAATAGGCAAAAATTGGCTGCTATGATAGAAGACTTTATAGAATTGATGTTTACTCAAGATAATTTTAGAATTGCATAGAGAGAGGTTCAGGCAGTCTCAATAGGAAAAATGGCAAAAGCAGAGGCAGTAGAACCTTGTATGAGAAAAAAGACAGGAAAATGACTGTTGCAGAGGGCTGAGATGGGTTTATGTTAGTTTCATAGGCAAAGAGATTTGCCAGCTTGAAGTGGCAGAATAAGGCTTCTAAAATATATTTTCCCAGCAGTAGGGAGTCATTAAAGGTTTGTAAACAGTAGACTGTTAAAGAGTCATGAGAACATATGGGGAAAGCTAATGGATTAACATTGTAACATGTTCTAGATGCACTGGCTCTAGAACATATTGGCTCCAGGAGGACACAGAAAATATTACCAGGGGGCAGGTGTGAGGTGGTGCAACTTGGGACTGGAGTGTCTGGTGTTTAAAGGAAAGGGTTTCCAAAGGCAGCCTGAGGGCCGGGGAGATAGCTCAGTAGAACAAGCGCAGGGTCCTGAGTTCAATCCCTGGTCCCACAAAAAAAAAAAAAAAAGAAAAGAAAAAGAAAAAGAAGCTGAAGTCAAAAAGGAGCCTGAATAGAGGGTGGTAAGGTTAAGAAAACATTTTCTGAACATGGAATATAGAGAAAATAATTGGCAGAATAGAAACATAGGTTGAGTTTGATTTGAGGATGTTTTTCACTTCTTAGTTTGTTTGCAGTGCTGAGGATGAAACCCAGGGCCTCACACCTTAAGTACATATTTTACCACTTAGCTACACCCCTAGCCCTTAGTCCTTTTTTTTTTTTAAACAATTATTTATTTATTGTGTGTGTGTGTGTGTGTGTGTGTGTGTGTGTGTGTGGCCAGCTCAGCCCACCAGGGGGTGGGGCTGGCTGGCATGTAGTGCTGGGGGATTGAACCGCGGTCCCTGTGCTTTGTTTAGCTTAGCTTGTTCTAAGTAGGTGCTTTAGACCACTGAGCCATCTCACCAGCCCCAAAATTTTATTTTGTTTTGTTTTGGCTGAACTGAGGATTGAACTCAGACCCTTGCGCTTGCCAGGAAAGCACTTATTCCATTGAGCCATGTCCCCAGCCCCCCTAGCCCTTAGTCTTTAAGTTTGAAGTGGTAGCAGGACATTCAAATGGAAATAACAAGCCACTTGGGATGGGAGTAGGCCTGGAGGTAGAGTTTGGAGTTGTCTGAAATGTCTTAATCTCTTTCTTAAATGTAACTCCTCAAGAATAGGATGGCTATCTGACCCCACCACTATCCTGCCTGCTCCTAGATTCTAGTACATTGACGTTTTCCAAAAGGAGTTTGGTGTACAGGTAATCTAGATGCCTGTGATACACTTTTTGTTACTGTTTTTTGTAGTTTTTAGAGAAGGGTCTATAGGGTGTTCAGGGTCTCACTACTAGATTGGACTCATAGTGATCCGCCTGTTTACAGCCTCCCAAGAGCCGGGATTATAGGCGTGTGCCTTCTCGGCCAGTCTCAATTGCCATCTCAGCATGCCCCAGAGACGGGGCTGTCATGGCAGGCCCAGGGATTAAACCCCTGGTCCCTTAGCCTGCTTGCAGGCGCTGTAATCTGCTGAGCTATTTGGCCAGCCCTTTGTGATACACTTTTGACTTCTCTTCTAAAAGTTTCCTTTGAGCAACTGACCTATTTTTTATAAACCATGAAATGGTATAGCACCCACACCTTTAAAGATAGATGTGCATTCCTGTTGTGATAACGAGAAGCTCCTAGGAAGAATCAAATTGATTCTTACACAGAAACATCTGATCTCGCTAAGAGGAGTTTCCTCATGTCCTCCTGTGTCTTCTGTCTGTGAGAGTTCACAGAGACCCCTGGCGATTTCAGCACTTGACATTGCAGATGAGCTGTCGGTCTTTAGGAGGGCATCATTGCTTTTCAGTCTTAAGTCAAAATGATTATTATGATTACTACTGGTATTGATTGTTTGCAATCACTTTGTAAAATAAGGCAAAGACTGCCTTCTCTCAATTTTAAAATTGGAGATCTTAAAGTCCTATAATTAGTAATATAGTTGTGTCTTATCTCTTTATTAGCAGCAAATGGTTAGAAGTAAAATAAAACTAAGATGTCAACACTTTTCTTCCTGTTTTTTGTATCATTTCTGTGGGTTTATTAAAAACAATGCTACTTTAAAGTAAATAAATGAGGGCAGGGGAGATGGCTCAGTAGAATAAGTGCTACCCTGGCAGGCGCAAGGGCCTGAGTTCAATCCCTGGTTCTGCCAAAAAAATAAAGTAAATAAATGAATTCTGCTTGCTTCAGTTTCAGTGTGGATGTATGTGGCATGTCACTTGTCACCAGAACTTGTGCAGCTGAATTGCTAGCTGGTGGTTACCCAAGAGCAGGCAAATGTACATGTAATTGTTAGAGTGTATGTGCTATACAAGGTGGGTTCTTTTGCAAGCAGAGGCAGCATTCAAGATTTGTTGAATAGGATGAAAAATAAAAAGCCACTAAATATACTTTTTATTGAGAAAAACCTATAGTAGTTTATCTGTAGTGCTCTTAGCTTTATATTGAAGAAAGCAGAATATATACCCATTGAACCTTTACATAACTTTTTACTTTGTACTGTGGTTCCTCACAATACATTGCTTCATTTCTCTTAGAGCTCTTGCAGCTCTCAATTTCAGACCAACATTTACATTTTTCTATGAAAAGTTATTTGTGTAATTGTGATATATATACTATGTAAACTAATATCCTTTATAAGTATCTGTCACTAACTTAAAAAGTAGTTATTTTATTTTTTTGCGGAACTGGGGATTGAACTCAGGCCCTTGTGCTTGCCAGGCAAGCACTTATTCT